GTGTATGTGTGTGTGTGTGTATATACTGTATATATAAGAACAATATATATATTTAAAGCCTAATTTAATGTCTTTCAGTCTGAGCGGGAGCGCTGGTCCCAGGCAGTTGTCCAGTATGAAAAACAAAGGGAAACCCTGTGTGGTGACATCCTTCTCACGTCAGCCTTCGTCTCCTACATGGGCTACTTTACCAGCCAGTATCGTGAGGACCTTTTCAAAAATGCTTGGATTCCTTTTCTTCAATCTCAGAAGGCAAGAACCGTTTTGGACAACGCTTAAGACGTTGTATGCAACGAAATGACTTTATTTGTTGGAGTCTGTAAACTGGAGCACACTTCCACTTGTGCTTGGCCTGCAGTGACCTCAGTCCTCTTGTGTTTTGTTCCAGGTCTCGGTGCCCCTGACAGACGGCTTGGACCCAATCGTCATGCTTACAGACGATGCCACTGTAGCTGCCTGGCATAACCAGGGCTTGCCAAACGATAGGATGTCGGCTGAAAATGCAGCCATCCTGACCACCAGTGAGCGTTGGCCGCTCATCATCGACCCGCAGCAGCAGGGAGTCAAGTGGGTCAGAAAGTGGTTCGGGCCAGAGCTGAGGGTGGTGCGAATGGAACAGAAAGGGTGAGAATGAAAAGAGTACAGTTGATTTTTCAGTGAGTTTTATGTAAAGTAAAAAAAAAAGTGCCAGTCCAGTGTGTTTTTCTGCAATCTTCCTTATTTTTCCATTCATTTATTTATTGTGCAGTTATCTGGATGTGATTGAACAAGCGCTTGTCTGTGGTGAACCAGTGCTGATAGAGAATCTGCCAGAAAAAATAGACCCAGTCCTGGAGCCTCTGCTAGGAAGAAGAACTATTAAAAAAGGAAGGTTGGTGCTGGAAAGTTTTTTTTCTGGAAAATGCGACAAACAAAACAAAGGGAAATGAATTCATTTTTATTGTCTGTGTTTAAGTCGATAAGTGCACAATTTGTCCCAGCGTGTCTGTGGCATTAGACAATAGGTGCAGATTTGTCAGATGGCTGAACCTCACTGGGCTCGGAAACCCCAGAAAGACATGACTAAATGCATTATTATTGCCCGCTCTTTAGATTATAAATGAATTTGGGACACGGGTTTTAAATCCCTGAGGTCAACGTATTGATCGCTCCTTCAAGATGGGTGATAGATGTATATTTGTGTGTTTATATTCTTGAGCTGTGATGAATATTGAACAGCTGAACTTCAGTGTAAAAACTGAACTGAGGGCTATTGTGGTTGTATATAAGGACTCCTGTTTCCCACAAAACACCAGCACATAACGTTGACTTCAGTTGTTCATTATGGATTCACAAAAGCAGTTAATATTTTATAATTATTGGTTATTTTTGGCATTTTGCTGTATTTTTCCTAACTAGGATTAATAATCTATTTAATACTTGTTAAGATAAGACTTTGTATCTGAATTTTCTTTACCAATGGGTCATTTTCACTAATGTCCTTAGACTTTATTAAGCCCCTTTTTATAAAAAAAATAACTGGTTAATCCTTGTATTTAAAATCTAACTTCCTGAACATCAATAGCTGCTGCATTATGTCTCACTTTATAAATATAACACTTCCAACAAAATAGCTGCAACAAAGCTATCCTGTGAGGACCATAGTTACCCAATTACCCTCATATAGATAAAAAATACTGTAAATTCCATAAACTGGGTAACCAACAGCATACATAGGAAATACCACATATTGATGTTCTGCTTTGATTTCCTCCTCTGAAATGTTTACATCTTTCTTGCTCCGATCCATTCGTGACCATTAATATCGAGCTTCCTGTTGGATGTTCATTACGCTCTTCTTTTGAAGTCCTGTCTGTCCAGACATAACAATTCATCATACTAAATCTGATTATAAGTTTATCTCTTGTAGATGACCCACACACTTGTTTCTGTCGATGATTAATTCAACCTGCTGGGGCAGCCATGATGGATCTTGTAGGGCTCCACAGCTGAAGTTCATTAATAATTGGAATGTTGCAGAGTGTGAAGTAATGAATACTAATTATTCCTTTCATGGCTGACGGAAGACTACAAGCCAATCCATCAGCAAGGACTTTAATTTGGTGGAGTAATGGTTCTATCAATAGTACATTAATTCTGGCTTGTGAAGATATAGAGTTGAACCATACCTAGGCCATGAGGAACTTGTGCCATAAAAATTGGGGCCTCACCTGACACCGTGGGTAATTAGCGATAAATGAAAAGCCACCAGGTTCGTCAAGCCAGTACTAATTTAATTGAAAGGCAAGAATAGAAAAGTATTGGCTGGCATGGGATACATTTTTATATTTATTTAAAATATTTTTTTGTATCCTAAAAATTAGGTTTGACCCTAAAATATCAGGTTTTGTAACTTTTGTCTGGTTCCAGAGAGTCTGCAGGAACTTGTTCAGATTACCTTGTGGTTATAAAACTGCCTGCACTATTCTTATAAGACTTTTGAAGAATTTTTTTCTCAGTTTTTTCATGCAGACAAGAATATAAAATCATGTTCATATCGAATAATAAGTGAAAAAGTATATTACTAACATGAATATTTTACATAGAATCAGAATATTTCTTCCTGTGTGTCACTACAGCTTCTGAAATCATGACTTGTTGCTTTGATTTTAAAGATGGGGATATTATGTATTTTCTATCCACATAGTAGAATTCTGTGCTGCAATCAAGTAACTGTTGCCTTCAGTTGTAGTCAAATTTCTGTATTAATCAATACTAAAATTGACTTTGCATGATAGTTTCATCTAAACACCTTGAAATTGGCCTATGTGTCTTTAAGAACATCCTACCATTCTGGACACTCCCACTTCAGTACATTTTCACAATCCTATAGGGGAGGGGTGCTCTGTGGGGCGGGGGCTCGGCTGCAGACTGAGCTCCAGGGAGGAGCTTCGTACAAATAGGCGGGACTTTGTATCAGCAAGCGTTTAGGCAGCTCCACATGGCTACTACAGGAGATTCAAGGATTTCTCAAACATGCATGAATGGAGTCAAAGCAACACTCTGGGTATATATTTTTTTTTATGAGGGAATGATATTATAACATGATATAAACATAAAAAAATGATTTTGCATACTAGACCCCCACACCCCTTAAGGTACATATAATGTCTGTTTCCAGAGCAAAAATATTTCCCAAACCAGATTTAAACGCAGCAAAAACTAGTTATTATCTTCAGCTGATTAACTTTTGAAAACACAACCATGTATATATTTGAGTCATTTTTTTACAGATATTGTGTTTTTATTTTGATGTGGAATTAGCTAAACAGTAGCAGTTGTTCAAATCGATGTCATTGATTCGTGTGTGATTCAAATTTCGTCTAGTTTAATTTTTTTCTGTGATTTTTATCCTACATACATATTAGTACAGAACGTAAGTTTTTTTTATGTTTCCTGTCATGTAGGTATATTCTTATTGGGGGCAAAGAGTGTGAATATAAAAGTAGCTTTCAGCTCATTCTTCACACCAAGCTGGCCAATCCACATTTCCCTCCAGAGGTCCAGGCCCAGACCACCCTCATAAACTTCACTGTGACTCCTGTGGGCCTGGAGGAACAGCTGCTGGGACAAGTGGTGTCCAAAGAGAGACCTGACCTGGAGGCTCTGAAGGTACATTTTGTCCACATCAAAGTTTTTAGCCARTATACTGATGGAAAATCTAGAATTGCGAATGTTCTCTTTACAAAGATGCAGCTGACGACACAGCAGAACCACTTCAAGATTGAACTGAAGAGATTTGAAGATGATCTGCTGAGTCATCTCTCTGCCGCCGGCGGGAATTTTCTCAGTGACAATTCTCTGGTGGAGCAACTTGAAAACACCAAGAACATGGCCGCTCACATACAGCACAAGGTAAAGTAAATAGTCCAATTATTAATTTTTCATTTTTTTTTTTCAGTTGTTATTGAATGTCACGCAGCTGCAAGTGCCTCATTTTATTGCATTAGCTATAAATGATGTGTAGTTAGGAATGTGTGTAATGGGGGGGTTTTGGAGCATGACTGAGGACCTAATAGCTCATTTTGTGCAATTGGAACGCACAGGTGGTGGAGGCCAGAGAGAACGAGACAAAGATCAACGAGGCTCGCGAACTATACCGCCCAGCAGCTGAGAGAGCGTCGCTCCTCTTCTTTATCATCAATGACCTCAGCAAGATTAACCCCATGTACCAGTTTTCACTCAAGGTGAAACTTTCACCCCTCAAGTGCTCTCACATACATTATTACAGTTTCTGTTAGATTTTCTCTTTAACATTTCTGTTTATTTTTTTTCTGCCAAAATGCAATGAAAATACACATAAGCTTAAAGTGCCTGTGACATGCCTGTCCTCCAAATACAAAAAGTCAAGGAAAATATCTTCATATTTAGGAAAATTGTCATAAAACACAATTTGTAGCATAACTGGCATATTTTCCTTTAAATTTGGCTCAGCTAAAGTGAAACAGGAAGTGACATCAAAGGGGAACTCTTTAAGAAATAAAACTCCCTTCTCTGTATTAAAAAACATTATTTGAGCTCTGATTCTTCTTCATCTCTCTCTTATAGGGACTAAAATTATCTAAAGAAACATCAGAAGATTCCCTGCTGTCTGTGTTAGCCGTTGTAGTAATGCTCTGTTTGCATGCAGATATTCCCCTTTGACATCACTTCCTGTTACTTCACATACAAATATCTCAACAACTGTTCGTCTCAGTGGTGTGAAATTGCTTTTACAATATGTTATCCATGTTATCTTTCCAAAAGTGCAATCACATTTATCACAAAAATTTGATGTCACAGGCACTTTAAAAATCTTAAGCAAAAACTAAAGATTGTGCATTCTGTTTTGGGTGTGAATTCAGTGTAACTTGGAGTGCTGTACCTTTCTTGGCATGTATTTTTTCTGGCTGTGTTTCAGGCCTTTAATTCAGTGTTTAACAAAGCGATGGAGCATGCAGAATGGGATGAGGATGTGAGGACCAGAGTGCAAACCCTCACTGAGGCCATCACCTATTCTGTATTCCTGTACACCAGCCAGGGCCTGTTTGAGAGAGACAAGTTAACCTTCTTGTCACACACGGCCTTCCAGGTGAGGGACTGAGGTCCGCCTCAAAGGTGGGGCCTGCTGTCACTCTCATCAATCAAAGTACTTTTCTGCCCCCACATTAACTTCAATTAAAAGCAGTCAGCGATACCATACGCTGCTATTGATTACCTCTCACACCCTGCTCCATGGCTGCTGTTCAGACAGTTGGTTCTGACAGGAGGGTTGGTTCTTATGGCATAATGCAATTATTTGTCACTGGACCAACTGTTGTCTTCGTAAAGATTTTGTAACTTTGAAGGCTGTCCTTCTCGTGGCTATTTCACATTTACTGCCACTTCATCCAACACAAATTAACCCAGTTACAGAATTAACAATAAATAAATCAATAACACATAGATCATAACAATAAACTTTTGGTCCTTCTTAGATTCTGCTCAGTCGTGRCCTGATTGATCCCCAGGAATTTCACTACCTTCTACACTTCCCAGTGGAAGCTGTAAAAGTTAGTGCTGTGTCTTTCCTCTCTCCACACACCTGGGGGGCTATTAAGGTAAAACACAATACCTGTAATCCCCGAAGGGATGACATTTTTTTAATGTCGCATTTCACTGCAAAGAAATGTAATAATGATGCCTTCTGCTTTAATGTAGACAATTTCGAGYGCAGAAGAGTTCAGTGGACTCGACAAAGATGTGGAGAGCTCGCCGAAGCGCTGGAGGAAGATTGTGGAGTCCAGCTGTCCTGAAAATGAAAGGCTTCCTCAGGACTGGAAGAATAAGAGTTCTCTGCAGAAGCTGATCATTCTGCGAGCACTTCGGCCTGACAGAATGACTTATGCATTAAAGTAAAAAAATAAAAAACTTAACCAAAGTGCATTTGTATTTTTAACAGCTATGCATCATTTACCTTTGTATTTTTCTGTTGCTTTGTAGAAAGTTTGTGGAGGAAAACTTGGGAACTAAATATGTGGAGCCTGTCAGGTTGGATTTTGACAAGTTGTATGAGGACAGTGGTCCGTCAACCCCCATGTTCTTCATCCTCTCACCTGGCGTTCATCCTCTTCAAGATGTAGAGAAACTCGGTACTACACCTTTGTTTGTTACTTGCATGTCTTGTGTCATTTCCTTTRGTYAGKGTTCCTGCAGATCCTTAAAAAGTCTTAAAAGGCATTGAATTCATCAATCCAAAAATAAGGCCTTAATTAGCCTTAAAATGTCTTAAATCAATCTTTCAGAAGTCTTAAAAATGTTAACACATTGTACATAGGATGATTGTAATTCATTTCAAATATTAAAACAATTGGTAACATTTTTTTAAATATTCACA